GTCCGACAGTGAGTATAGTCATAACAAAACATACTAGCCTGTTTTTTCAAGCATCCTGCAGATTCGAGTGTTGGCAACTGCGTGTGGCACCCAGCGGAAGGTGTCATCTTCCCCAGCGTCTTGTACACAATCACACTTTGATTGGCAGCCTAGAGGACACGGAGAGAAAGAGGATCAGGTGAAGGATCCCCTGGAAAGTGATTGTTGGGTTGATGGAATATAGCGGTTTGGCGTTGCCGGAAGTAGCTCAGGTCCCACAGCTGGACGTTTCACAGAGGAATTTGGGTGGGTGAATAGCCCATTAAGCTTTGACAATCGTGTGTTATGAAAATGCACAAATACACACACACAAAGGAGTTTGATTGGATACGTACCTTCACGGAACCTTCTTTTTAAATAAAGGAAGGCTTGATTCTAGAAGGTAGTGAGAAAGAAGTTTAAACTAAGACCTTACCCCACCGGCCGAAATGTGTCCAAATTGTAAATATTTGGGTAAGATTCAGGTGCTTCTAGAAGGTGTGTATCTGCCTTCATCATTACTGTGGCCAAGAAGGTGTGCGCCTGGTGTCCTCTGACACGTGAACAAATATCTCTAATCTCTGCAACCCGGGTTCCACAGAACGGATGTATCAGACTATACAAGGGGGCTTCAAAACGTTCGTGGAAAAATGAAATGACAAGATAGTGACGATTTCCCACAACCTTCTTGACTCCTTCTCATACATCGCCCCTTTAGAAACTGAGCTCTTGGAAGAACAGGACAGGGTTCTTGTATGTGCCTCCAACAGTATGGGTCTTCTGCAGTTCGGTGATGACACAGAAGGTCGGAAAGCTCAGAAACGGCCCCCCCACCCCCGCCCCACCCCACAAGAACAGGGCTCCTGACCTGTGAAGAGTTGAGAAACAGCAAGAATTGGCCTGTTGTTGGCATTTCATTAACTGACATGGACGAGTTAATAAAGTAGCCAGGAGAATGCACAAAGAGAGGATGCGGAAAAAGGGGATGCGAGGAGGGGAAGGTAAGAGGATTAAAGCTACAAAAACATTCCTTTAATGGGTTTCTCAAACACACCAGCCAACAGGCAAGGACAGGTGTCCTGCCAAGCCATTTCCGTGAAACCTGATCCGTCATTCTGCGGGGAGGCCTGCTAACCACCTTTGTAAAGGAAGGCCCTGCCCTGAGTCCCAGGGAAGCCGGCCTGAGCCGCCCAGGGACACAGCCAGGAAAATGGCTTTGCAGACAAAGGGGCCTGGGAACAGCCTGGTTCTCTTCATAAGCAGCCAACTAGCGCTCCCCTCTGCGTCTGCCAGTCCGATGGCTGCCTGGGCTGGTATTGATCATGAAGCCTCCCTTCCTGGCCTCCTTCCTGCCCCCCAACCCTAGGAAAGGGGCTGCGCCCATTTTCAGATCCTTCATCACTTCATTACCCTGTCTTTGATCCCTTCGGGAAATGCAAGCCTAGCTCCAAATGGCTAAGTGGGAGTGTTTGTATAGTGGGGCCACAGCTAAGGCTTAAGCTTAGGAGGCACTGGGGGGACAGGGCCAAGGACCAAGCTGCTGCTTACTTGTTTTGGAGCCAAGAAGACTCGCCTGCCAGTCGGCCCTTGTGGGGAGCTGGATGCCCAGCTGGGCTACCCTTGGCCCTGCCCACTCAAGCTGTTGTGCACATGTTGGCATGGGAACCAAGGGGCTATCCAGCTGCAAGGTGACGGGTGCCCAGCTCGGTGCCTCCCCTACTACGCAGCCTTCTGTCTTAACTCAGGCAGTTGTCACGGGGTGCATGGGAGGCAGGAGGACCTGAAGGGGCATGACTGCTCTCTGTCCGGGGTTGGTTGGCGCAGTGGGTGCATGGAACGGTGTGTGCTCTGTGTCTAGATAAGCCCTTAATTAGCAGCAGGGCCAGAGCCCATGGTATTAACAAGGAGATGGCAGTCTGGTGCCAAACTCATTTCAGTAGCTCACATCTGTCTTGCCAAACGATCAGCTCCGTTTAAGTATATTCTTGCCCGAGGCCAATTTCCTTAGCGTGATGCAAAGAAAGAAAAGAAAAAACCTTGGTGGAGTCGTTTGGGGGTTATTGGACCGTGGAAGAGAGGGCTTCTGAGTGACTGCGGAATTTTCCGGATGCCCCTGAGCATGCCGTCCCTCACAGAGCCTCCTGACCTGGCAGGTTCAGCTCTCGAACTGCCCTGGAGGAGGATTAGGGCCTCTGTGACTGGTTTTCTAAGTGCACAGATTTTGAAAAGCAATGTGACCAAGATTTAGCTAGAATGTGTCGAGCACACTTCTCTTCTCTCGAGAGAGAAAAGCTCTCGCCTCTCCTGACTGAGAGGCTCATCCCTCCACTGGCGACCTAATTCATGAGGCTCAGGCCCGGTGCAAGAGGAAAATGCAAGGTGCCTCCTTAAAAAACGAAGAATTTTGAGACAGTGGCAGCAGAGCTTTAAACGAGGAGTGGGGCCCTCCCACATTAGAGTCTGGGGATGGCGCAGGCTGCGTGCCTGCGCAGCTGACCTCTGGCCTCCCCTTCTGGACTATGGGTTCATTCCGCCAGGATTGAGAGAGAATTGCTCAGTCCCCAGGACTTCGCAGGGGGGATTCAGGGCAGTGGTGCACACCCAGGGCACCCACCAGGCTCGGATAGCATACACACACAAAGCAAGATGATGACATGATCACTGAAAAGCCCTGGATGTTCTGTGCCCCACTAAAGGCCGGGAGATCTCACCTTGACCAAGGGGCATTACCTGTACAGCCCCGATAGTGAGTTGGGGCCAAGCAAGAAGAGGGAAGTGAATCTGGCAGTATGTCATCAATTTGGGCACACTTCTCTGTGAATAGCGTGGGTTTCTTACTCCGCCATTATTAGGCCTTGGAACCCAGGAAGTCATGTCTCAAGAAACATGCTATTTTCACTGGCATTGGCCCTGCTTAGATAAATTGTTCAGAGAACACTTGTTATGTTAGACCCTTGTTCTTGAGCTTGGTGTAGACCAAGTTCAGCCGGGGCATTTGAGCTCATGACTGTTGCTGTGAGGTGCTTTCAATTGCTTTTGACTCAGAGCAACCCTGCGTGTGCACAACACAACACAACACTGCCCCATCTCGCATCATCCTCAGCGTTCGTTGTAAGTCCATTGTGGTGGCTGCTGGGCCAGCCACCTCCCTGGAGGTCTTTGGATTTCCCATTGACCCTCGACTTTACCAAGCATGATGTTCATTTCCCAGGACTGGTCTCTCCGGATAACATCTCCAAAGTAAGCTCATTGAAGGAGCATGTTGGCTACCCTTCTTCCAAGACGGATTGGTCTGTGCCTCTGGCACTCCTTGACATATTTGGCATTCTTCACCAGCACCATTATTCAAATGCATCACTTCTCTCCCGAGCTTCCTTTTTCACTGTCCGGCTTTCACGTGCACACACAGGCGATTGAAATACCATGGTGAAGGTCACGTGCAAATTCATAGACACCTTGTATCCTGCTTTGTGGGGCCCTACTTCCAAGACATCCATTAATCTATTCAACACTTACCAGGTGTCTGCTAAGGACTAGGCCCTGCATTGGGTTCAAGATCCACAATTAAGAGTGTGGCCTCGCCCTATCCCCAAAGAGCTCACGGTCTGGTACTGTACCAATGAGATACGGATATTCCTTAAGAAAGACAAAGGAATTACCCCCTCCTCGCTTAGCTTGAGGAAGGGCTTCTGAAAAGGTCCTCTAAACAAGAGGGTCTCCAGTGCGGGCAATAGTTTGCTTGGGGGAACTAGCTCTTGTCTTCGGTGAGAAACCGGATTGGCGCCTGCCCCTCTGGCCTTCGCCGAGTCTCCTGTCTTGGAAACAGCAACACACAGGCAGGTGGAGTCCTGCAGTGGGATTGCCGTTAGCTCTGATGGTATCTAGTTCTCGGGAGCAGAATTTGGGGCGGCCATCATTCAGAGAGGGTGCCTCCAGGGCTTTTACACTATCTCTGTGAAGAGAAACATGGAGAAATAGATCGTTTTCATCTCTCTTACCTTCTTCTCCCTTAGTTTTATTTCTCCTTGTCAGTTTAGCCATGACCCTGGAGACCTCAGTTGGCATGCAGTTTGATTGAGCAAATGGCCTGCCTGGTTCAGCAAGATCGCGGACTCAGCACACACAAAGAGGGCTCTGTTGTCTGGACCAGTGGCTTCACTGGGAAACACCCCACTCTCCTTCCAGATGGAGCTCCACCACCCCCAGGGTCAACCCCAGGCACCCTGTCACCAAGCTGAGTAGGCTCCGGTCCTGGCAGAGACAGTTGCTGGGAGCCCTGGCTTCCCCACAGTCCAGTGCGTGAGCCCTACAGGGTGCTTCCTCGTGGCTTGAGAGAGCGGCCTGGCCTCTGAAAACCCTCAGAGCACCCTGAGGGAGCCCTGGGCAGCCACTGGCTTGGCCATGGCCTGAGTGCCACCGCTCTGGTGCAGGAGGACCCCGCCTTCTGGATGGACTCTCAGACCTGGCCCTTTCCACTGTGTGTGTCCGGGGGAACCTTGGGAAGGCTGCTTCTGATTGAATGGGAGCAGAGACAGCTGAGCACTCCTTTCCCGTGCCCACCAACATCCCTCAGACGCTTTGGCAGTCTCCATGGCTGTGTCTCGAGATCGGTGCCTCGGCGGGAGCCCACTCCGCACGCCAGCCAGGTTGAGCCGGGCCAACTAGCACTGCTAGGTCACCCCATCCTGTCCCACCATCACGGAAAGGGTTGGTCTGGGCCACAGGCACCTCCTGGCAGCACTCTTTCTCCCTGCCCACGTGCTCTAGCCCTCTGAAGATTCCATCCTATCAAAGCTCCCACATCTGTAAGGGGCGCCATGGGAGGCACCTGGGCCCCTCTTCCCGGAGAGCCCCCAGTGAGTGAGGTTCTGCAGCCTTTGACGTGACCCCAGGATCCCAGGACACAAGGCCACCCTGAAATGTCTCACTGTCTTTCTCCTCCGCAATCGAGGCCTAGCCAGCAGCGTCCCTTGTCCCCACAGACCTGCAGGACTTCAAGTTGGACGTGCAGCACGTGATTGAAGTGGATGAGGGGAACACGGCAGTCATTGCCTGCCACTTGCCAGAGAGCCACCCGAAGGCCCAGGTCCGATACAGCGTCAAACAGCAGTGGCTGGAGGCCTCTCGAGGTGAGTGAGCAGGGCAGGGGCCCCAAGCCAGGGGAGAAACGCAACCAAGCTGGGTGGCCTACTGCTGCCGCCAAACCCCCTTGACACACCAATAGCCCCATCCCTCGTGCTGCCCCTTGACCACCTTCTGCCTGGATGTTGATCGATACGGATCCTGAAGGACTGGGCTTCTGCTGTGGCCAACCTCTGCCCCATTATGAGATTCTGTCACCTTCTTGAGGTCCCAGAAGGTGTTAACCAAAAGATCCGCAGTTTGAAACCCCTAGCCACTCTGAGAGAGAAAGGTGAAGTTTTCTATTTCTGTCAAGAATTACACCCTCAGAAACCCAGAGGCACTTCCACCCTGTCCTAACAGGGTCACTGTGAGTCAGAACTGACATGATGGCAGTGAGTCTGGGTTTGGGGTGCAGGGGAGGGCTGTCTTTCCGGACGCAGTCGGCTTCTTCCCACAACAACCCCTGCACTCCAGGCCAAGCAGACCCAATTTTACCTGGCCCCACGCTCAAACTGGATACCTCTTCCAATATTTCATAGATCTTATCATATTTTCTCTTTCTTTTTTTATTAAAATATCATTTTATTGGGGGCTCTTACAGCTCTTATAAACAATTCATACATCAATTGTATGAAGCATATTTGTACATATGTTGCCATCATTATTTTCTAGATATTTACTTTCTAGTGAGCCTTTGGTATCAGCTTTGATCTTAAAATAATTTTATGAGCAGTTTTTTGGGTTGTGACAGGAATGTATGTTCATTATAGAAAATTGAAGAAACCCAGAACCCCTTTTGAAAAAAGGGGCAGGGGTTTAAAAACAAGCAACCCTAATCCTATAACTCAGAAATCACAGAGGTCGGAGCAGAGACTAATGCCTGTCCATTCCACAAGAGTCACCGCCTCCCCATCCATACAGCCCATGTCCAAACAGCACACGTGGGGTGGCTGACGCAGGCTGGGTGGGTCTGGAGTACAGGGACCAGAGATTCTCAGGCCAGCCAGCCGGCCACCAAAACACAGCTACCGAACAGACAGACAGCGCTTCACCTGCCAGGAAGCTGAGAGCCACCTCCATGGATGGTGTCCTTGGCAGATAATCTCACACCCCCAGGCCCCACTCTCATGGGTCTCCTCAGCCAGGAGCAGCCAGTGACACAGGAGGCGGGGTGGTAGTGGCAGTGGTGAGGACAGAGATTGGTGGGTGGGTTAAATATCGTGGTGAGGAGGGCTGAGGTTGTGACCGTGGCAGCGTCTGGGCCTGACCGCAGGACCAAGCCAGCTCCCTTCACCCTAGTGGTTCACAGGAACCGTGTCATCTCACCTCCCACGTGTCGCAGGGCCGCCCGCCGTCCTGGTAACACCGCCAGGGGCTACACTGTTTCACAAATGAGTGCACCATCAGAGAAGTTAATGAACTTGCCCAAGGGCACACAGTGAGAAGCTGGCTGATCCAGAGCTTGAACCCTGGTCTGGCAGACCCCCACTCTGGCTTCCTTCCCACCCCACCGCAGCGCCCTGGAATGTAGACACTGCTCTTCTGCACCTGTGAGCTAACTGTGAGGCATTTGGCCCGTCTCTTAGAGGTGGGTTGGTTAGTTGAGTTGGTTGGTTGGTTGGTTAGTCTCTCTCCCTGAATTTTCAGCCCATTCACAGCCACATCCTAACAGAGAAGAGTATTCTAGGTCTGGGTTTGTGGAGTCTCAGGTGTACATCGGCTCCTGGTGCCTGCCCTACCTGATGCTTTTGAAGGTAACACTGAGAAGGGAGGCTGTGGCGTACAGTGCCCTGGGCCCCAATTCACTATCCCGTTTCCCTGGCCCTTTCCGCAGACAACTACCTGATCATGCCGTCTGGGAATCTCCAGATTGTGAATGCCAGCCAGGAGGACGAGGGCATGTACAAGTGCGCGGCCTACAACCCAGTCACCCAGGAAGTGAAGACGGCCGGCTCCAGCGACAGGCTACGCGTGCGCCGTAAGCGCCAGGGCCGGATGCCCCACCCCATGGAGGGGCCCTGCAGATGGCATGGGGTGGGGGGCGGCCTCCGGCGATGCACCAGCTTGCGTTCTCGGGCTTGGACGTGGGGCGCTGTCAGTGAGGCACCCGGGAGGGAGGCTGGGATTCCCTCCCCTCGGGAGGGGATTCCCTCCCGCACAGCTCATGGCCTGGCTTGGACGGCTGGTTGGGCTTGCTGGTCACTGGGAGACGCTCCCCATTCTTCCATCCCCCCTGGAGGGTCCCTTCACGGACCCCGTGAGGGGGCACCTGTGCACGAGTGGCTGGAACTCAGCTGCTAAGCAGCAAAGGTATCAATAAAAGGAGGGTGCGCTGGCCCACCGGGGTGAGGCCCCAGGCTGGCCTGCTTGTCCCCACCACGAACCTCCCTGGGGACAGCACCAGCAACTGCCCTTCGAAGCACTATCCACTCGGAGGATTTACATCTGTTGTGCACTCAGGTGTTAAAGCCAGGTTGTCAGTCCAGGAGGTCTCAAGGTCAGCTGGATTTACCATGAAGCTAAGGAAGCAAGACTCTCCTGATGCCCTGTGTGTAGTTTCATGTTGGTAATTTTATATCCTTCTGAAAGAGAGCATCCCAGAGGGTGGCCGATTCAGGTCTTAAAAACCCTGGATCTGCCCCGTTTGGCCCATAGAGTGAAAGAGACAAACCACCAGAGCTTGCTGCCGCGTACGTCCTCGAGGATGGCACGTCTCGGGCATCGGCGTGCCTTTCCATAAAGGCCCAAGCCGTTTCCCCACCCACCCCTCGAGGGTCCTGGACTGAGGGCCTGATGGAGTGACTATGGCATTTGTGGGCCTGGAGACAGAGGCATTGACTCCAGGTTGTCCACGCTGAGCCACTGTTGGTCTCTGCGCATGTGCAGAGGGCACACAGGAAAAAGCACCTGCCGTGGGCAAACGGTTCCTATTCTCTCTCTGCCCCTTCCCTCTTGGCACCCACAGTTAAGGGTGCTCAGGTTAAGGCTGTGGGAGGCCCTCGAGTCAATGCCGACTGGTAGAGGCTCCGTGGGACAAAGCAGAATTGGCCCCTGGAATTGCCTGGATTGCTCACGTTTAACGTGGAACCCCTGGTGGTGACATAGGTCAAGCACTTGGCTATTTTGCGGTTCAAACCCACCAGCTGCGCCCTAGGAGAGAGATGGAGCAGCCTGCTTCCAGAAAGATGACAGGCTCAGAAATCCCGTGGGGCAGCTCTGCTCTGTCCTGTAGGCTCGCCGTGCGTTGGGTCAAGGCGACGGCAGTTGGCTTGGTGTTTTGGGTGTGGGTCTTCATGGAAGCAGGTCCCTGGGTCTTTTCTCTCTCAGAGCCGCTGGTGCGTTTGAACCACCTTTGGGTTAGTACCCCTGCTTCAATGAGGATGCTTCGCCGTGCTATCCCACTTTCTCAGAACAACTTTCTGCAAAAAGAACTTTTTTGCTTCTTCATTTAACCTGAGACTTGGTGGAACTAAGTGACTTGCCCACTCAATGTGGATGAGACTGCCCCTCCCCCCGGGGAGGCTGCGACCAGAGGGCACCCTCGGCCTGAGATCTCTCCCCTCCGTGCCCCTCCAGGCTCCACCGCAGAGGCGGCCCGAATCATCTATCCCCCAGAGGCCCAAACCATCATTGTCACCAAGGGGCAGAGCCTCATCCTGGAGTGCGTGGCCAGTGGCATCCCACCCCCGAGGGTCACCTGGGCCAAGGACGGGTCCAGTGTGGCGGCCTACAACAAAACACGCTTCCTGCTGAGCAACCTCCTCATCGACACCACCAGCGAGGAGGACTCGGGGACCTACCGCTGCATGGCTGACAACGGGGTGGGGGAGCCCGGGGCTGCAGTCATTCTCTACAACGTCCAGGTGTTTGGTGAGTGTCTCCTGTGGGCCCCCCTGCTCTCCCCGCCTTCTCTCGGGTCTGCGAGGCCCGGGGGGCTGCAGGCGGCTGCACTGGGTCACACTGCATCTGCGGTTCCGCCATCCCCTTTCCTGCCCTGGCTCTGCTGGGACACGGGGCCCTTTTCCTCCCCCCACCCCTTCCTGGGAGGGGTGCCAGCAGCCAGAGGGAAGGAGGGGGCTCCCCAGTCCGGATGGCCCCAGCACAGGAAGAACAGCCTTTCCGACCCCACTCTGGTTTCCCACAGAACCCCCTGAGGTCACCATGGAGCTGTCCCAGCTGGTCATCCCGTGGGGCCAGAGTGCCAAGCTCACCTGTGAGGTGCGCGGGAACCCCCCGCCCTCCGTGCTGTGGTTGAGAAATGCGGTGCCCCTCACCCCCAGCCAGCACCTCCGCCTGTCCCGCAGGGCCCTGCGCGTGGTCAGCGTGGGGCCCGAGGACGAAGGCGTCTACCAGTGCATGGCAGAGAACGAAGTCGGCAGCGCCCACGCTGTGGTCCAGCTGAGGACCGCCCGGCCAGGTGAGTGCCGCCTCTCGAGCCAGGATTCCGGCCAGGAGTCACAGCCCGCTCGCTTCCAGGGAACCGATGTGTCCAGTAGACACCACCCGACAAAAGCCATTCAGATTGGCACTAGCTCCTTGAGAAGTCAGATTCTCTTAACTGTGGTCAATTTTACAAAATTTGAAAAAGAAATCGATGGAGCGTCTCATGAATTTCTGTGCCACCCTTGCCTGGGGGGGCAGGCTATCATATGCTCCATATCCTTCCAGTTTTGTGTGCAGCTGGAGCCAACGTGTGTATTTTCTTTCGAGAAAATCCATTTGCAGCATGGTTTCCATGGAAGCCAGTGTGGATAGCACTGCTCTCAGCCACGCGAGTCTGCCCTCCTTGGCTCGATTGATTTGTGGGCACCTAAACCAACTGAGCCGTGTGAGCAGACCGGGGGTGCCAACAGGCAGGAAAAGCGCCGAGCCTCAAGAACCTTGGGAGGTGGTTAAACCTAAATCGGAGAAGAGTCCAGCAATGGCTAATGAAATGTTGACTGGGCATCATTGGGCAACTTCATCCTGTGGTGCGGGTGGTGAGGTCGAGGATAGACGGGTGTGGGTGGCATCCTCGGGGGCTTCTGAGGGCTCTGAGGGGAGGAGCTATGGTTGCCATCCTGGCACCCGTCTCCTCAGTCAAGGAAGAAAGGGCCACGTGGTGGCATGGTGGGGAGACCCCATAGTGACAGGACAGGTCCCTCTGCTCCCCAGTCTTGACATGAGAATGAAGGATGCACAGGGTGCCTGCACCATGCAAGCTGAGAGCATTCACTTAGGATGCACCGAGTGTGGCCTTAGGCAGGTGGCACAGAAGCTTGCCTGTCACCTGGGCAGTGTGCTGTGCTCTCCTGGTAGGGCAGGAACACTAAACTAGCCTGCTTCCCACAGTCTGGTTGTGTGTCAAGGGGCGCGGTGGGGGGGGGGGTGTCCTTCCTCCTGCCTCTTCTTCCCGCTGCTTCCTTCTTTTTGTCCCTCAGCCCAGACTAACATGTCCCACCCATCCCTTCTGTGTGTCCCCCCAGGCACCACCCTGCGGCCCTGGCGAGATGCTAAGGCGGACGTGGCCACACCTCCTGTGCCATCTTCCAGACCGGGCAGCCCTGACCTGTTGCTGAGGGGGCCTGAGACGTCCGTGCCGCCTGCTTCCCCTCCATGCCCTGGAGAGAAGGGACAGCTGGCCCCGGCCGAGGCCCCCATCATCCTGAGCTCACCCCGGACGTCCAAGACTGACTCGTACGAGCTGGTGTGGCGTCCTCGGCATGAGGGCGGTGGCCGGGCACCCATCCTCTACTACATGGTGAAGCACCGCAAGGTACATCCCTGGCCACCTGTCCCTGGGCAGCCTCCTCTCCATGAGGCTGAGCCAGTCTCTCTGCCGCCTGGCCTCCTCCCCGGGAGCGTGCGCAGCCTGGGCCGGCCACCACCCCCCCACTGGCCATGACGGCTCGCCCACCTCCTCTAGTGCCCATTTCGAGCCACTGCCCAGCATCTCACTGCAGGAAGGGCATTGGGGGCCCTCACTAGATAGGAAGTCACACTAACCATTTGCTGCTAAGACACCGGCGACTCGGGGAACCTTGTTTGTAGCAATGTAGAACTGCTTCCCAGGGGTGTCCTGAAGCAGGTGCTTTTTGGTTTTTGGGGGGGTATTTTTTGGAGGTGTCTTCACGTGGATCTCATCTGCCAAACACAGACCTACACAAAAGTCACGTGCCTTCAGGTCTGCGCTCTCTGCATTCCTCTCCCGGAGGCCAGTACCATCAACTCCTGGTCCCAAATGACCTAACCTCATGCCCGTGAGCCTTGCCTGCCATGCGTTGTTGGCCTTAGCGTGTGCAGCTCTGCTTCTTAACCGGAGTAAGCTGTGGTGGGCACATACCTGCAGGAAGCCTGGCCGGGCGAGCTCGTTCTAAAGCCAGAACAGAGGCAGGGATTTTGTGAACTAGCATTTTCTGGCAGCTGCAAAAGCCCCCCTCGGGTCTCACAATTCATCATGGCTCGGGGTGGTCCGGCAGCCATTGGAGCGGAAAGCATTGCATGCTGTTAAACCTCAGCTACTTCGCTGACAGAAGGAACCCTGTCCAGGTGAATGTTCCAGGAGCCATCAGGGAGGGTATCTGACTGACCCGGATTCAGGGACCGAGCCAATCCAGCCCCATCCTCTCTCAGCCACCAGGCCCCGTGAGGCGGGGTGGGGAAGCTGGGCGGCTGCCCTCCCCCACAGGGAACTCCCCCACAGGGAGCTCAAGCCCTCTGGTGGCCCTATCAGGGGTGTCCAGCGCTGTCTGTTTTCACGGGAGCAAGCGGCCTCATCTTTCTCCTGCAGAGGGGCTAGTGGGTTTGAGCCACAGCCTTGGGGTTAGCAGGCCAGTGCCTGACCCCCAGCATCACTCAAACTCCTGCCCCCAGGGACAGGGACATGGAATTCCTTGTACGAAAGCATGCCTGGACACACACATGTTCCAGCCCCTCCCAGGTGCACACAGATTTCTTTCCAAGGCCGCTAACCAGTAAGCTGCGGTTGTCATCGAGTTGATTGTGACTCCCCAGTGTTCTCCAAGTGTGTGTGAGTAGATTGTGTTGCACAGGGCTTCCAGGGACTGGTTTTACACAAGCAGACGGCTAGCCTTCTCTTTTGAGGTACCTCTGGGTAGGCCTGCACCTCCCGTCTTTCCATCTGTAGCCATGTTCTTCACAGTTTTTACCACCAAGCACACCTTCTAAGGCCACGCTCAAAAAAATAAGACCACTTCTAACTCACTGCCATTGCGTGTGACCTGATAGGACAGGAGAGACTGACTCTTCCTGGGAGTAGAAAGCCCCATCTTTCCTCCTGCAGAGCGGCTGGTGGTTTTGAACTGCCCACCTTGTGGTTAGCAGCCCAGCACAGAAAGACTACGCCACCATACGAGGAAATCACTATCGTTGAATGGATTTTAAATTTCTACTTGTCGCACCAAACGCACACAGTAGAAATTGCAGAAAATGATGTCAGAGGCCTGTGTACATCTTTGTCTCGTCCCAAGTGGGAAGTGCGGCGTGAAGCCGTTTCCCTGCCTTGGGCCTTGCTGGCCCCTCGTGCTGCCCTTCCCCATCATGCTTGCTTTGATGAGCCCACGGAGACCCAGGGAATGTCAGCCACACCCGAGGAGCAGCAGCCCCACGCTGCCTCTCTGCTGCCTCCCAGGCAGGGCAAGCGCGCAGTCTCTCATCAACTGTCGCCCCGCTGGGGCATGAGTTAACAGAAAGCAGCATTGTTCAGCAGTTGCTTCAGCCAGGCCTGCATCTAACCGTTATCTCCCCGTGTAACTGGACACGTCCACCTCCAAGCTGGGGACAGCCATCGGGGCAGGCCAGATGCCCTCCACCCCCAAGAGAGCGGCAGCAGTGTGTTAGCAAGAATAATATTTTTCAGGCCAATAGGTGGCCCCAAAAGCGCCTCTCCAAGGGGCAGGCTGGCAAAGGCCAGGCTCGGGGTCCGGAAGTGGCAGGCGATGGCCGAGTCACCCTCGCCGTGTGTGTGACAGTGACTAATGACCCTCTCGTTTTGTATTTTCATTTCAGGGCCCCAGGCCAGGGGGGTGGGGGAAGTGAGAGGACCAAGCCCCCACTGCGTCTGGCTTCTATTAGGCTCCAGTCTCCCGGGCGCTCGGAACCGCTAGCTTGGCGTTGCCAGGGCAGAAATGATGTCTTGAAAGCACTTCCTTTCTGAGGGACTAACGTGCTTAAAGATCATCTCTCGAGAAAAGACTTTTGCAACCAGAAGTCACCGTTTGTTTGGGTTTCCCATCCCCCATTCTCTTGCTGGGGAACTGGGACTCGTTTAGCGAATTTTCACTTTTTCCAGCGTGTGAAGCGGGCCTCGCTTGTTGGTGCATCTGCAGACGCGGGGCTACTGTGTTTGGGTTTCCAGCATCTCTGGGGAGTCTCCGTTTGTAAAGCTCCCCCCCTTGGAGCAAATCCTGGAAACCTGACCTTAATGAGCCCAGAGCAGCCTTGAGTCTTGAATGGTAGGTTTTGTTCCACTCTTGGAATATTCGGCTTGAGGATAAAAGCCCTTCTTCCCACCAGCTGTTTTCTTCTCTCAGCAAACCGCAGCTTCACTTCGCAGCAGAGCCGAGACGCGCACCAAAAACCCAGCTGCAGGCTGGCCTTTCCACTCCTGTATCCGAGCAGAGCGGAGCACTGTCCGGGTCTCGGGCTGAGCTCCCGTCTGATGGTCTCTGAGCCTGTGGTCTCTGAGCAGACTCAAAGGGCTAACCTTTCGGTTGGCAGCTGAGGGAGAGCACTAGGTCTTTTGTCCGTAGAGGAAGCTGGAGCTCTCTTTATCTTCAGAAGGGGCAGGCGAGGGACGCCAGTCCAGGGAAGACTAATCCATAGCAGTTCTCAGCTGCCCACCGTTGTTCAGTCTTCCACGGGCGTGAGGGGAGGAACAACAAGAAAGGGGGAGGGGCTGAAATGACAGCTGTCACAGGGTGGAGGACGTGGGGGTCGGGAGGGTGACAGGTGGATATTGGGGACCTCTTCTGTGCCGGTGCACTTTACACGTACCACTGAGTGTGATCTTCAGAAGAGCTCAGTTGGCCTGTTCTAGAAAGGGAATCCCCAGCCGTCTGTCTAGTTATCTGTTGGGTGTAGCTGTGATGCCGAGAACTATACCACCAGGATTTCCATCCCAGCAGGGGGGGCCACAGTTCATTCAGTGGAATCTTCAGATGGAGAAAGATTGGGATGGTATCCTGCTTCCAAAAGTTAGTCAGAGACAGCTCTACGGGTCCTCACAGTGTTGTTTGTTGTTGTTAGGGACAACAGAATGACACGCTGCCCAGGCCTGTGCCATCCGCACAATTGTTCTTGTCTGAGCCCATTGTGGCAGCCAGGGAGTCGATCCATCTCCTTGAGGGCCTTCCTCTTTGTCGCTGCCCCTCTATGTGACCACCTGACGCCCTCCTCCAAGGACTGGTCTCTCACATGTCCAAAGTACGGAGGATGAAGACTCGCCATCCTTGCTTCTAAAGAGCACTCTGGTCGCACTGCTTCCATGGTGCTGTTGTAACAAGTGTCCGTTAGAATGTGCTGGAAGATGAGTTCTCTGTGTGGGAGAGTTCTCTAAGTGCACACTGGGCACAATCATGGCCTGGAGCATACTGATGATTGTGACGTCAGGACCAGGCAGTGTCCATGGGGAGCCACGAGTCAGAGCCGCCACAGCGGCAATTAACAACGGGGACACGAACAGTTTTAGGGATCTAGGTGGGTAGGGAACTTGTTCAGAATTTCACAAATGGTAAGGGATCTGGCTAGGATTTGAACCCAGGTCTTTCTGGCTCTGAGACTTTTAATTTCTAGGGTAGGTTGTTTATGAGCATGCATGTCAGTGTTGCCATGGTTTCTCCATTCACAAGCAACATGGACTTGGGCAAATGACTCATCCATCTCATCGGTGAAAGGGCTATTGGGAGGAAGAATGGGACACTGTCTATAAAGTGCGGAGCTCCACGCCCCCGGGGGCTGTGAGCACTGAGTGAGGCCAGGTTAGTTTTACCTGTGTTGCTTTTCTCAGGGAGCCCTGGTAGTGTAGGGGTTACCTGTTGGGCTGCTTACAAAACCACCAGCTACTCCTGGTGGGGCTTTCTGCTCCCAAAAAGTTAAGTCTCAGAAATCTACAGGGGAAATTCTACCTTGTCCTGTAGTCGCTATAAATCAGATTCTACTTGATGCCACTGAGTTTATTTTGTTGCTCTTAATCTCATTAGGGTGTGAATGGAAGGGACTGCGTTTGATCTAAATGGAACCAGGAGAAAGTTCAAACAGAGGGTCTGGGAGCACAAGGTCACTGGACACATCCCTCAGCAAGGCTTTCTACCTGAGTTTCCCTTGGATGCATCCCCCAAGTTGTCAGGGATCCGGCTCTACTGCACTGCCTTCCCCCACACGACCCACTCCCCTGCTTCGTGCTGCCCTCTCAGGCTGCTTCCCTCATCTCACAAACCAACACCCACAGTGGCTCCAAGCGGGCAGGGAGGCTGGTCCTGATCCACGCTGCCTTCTCCAGCAGGTCACAAATGCCTCTGATGACTGGACCATCAATGGCATCCCAGCCAGCCAGCACCGCCTGATGCTCCGTCGACTGGACCCCGGGAGCCTGTATGAAGTGGAGATGGCTGCCTACAACTGTGCGGGCGAGGGCCAGACAGCCATGGTCACCTTCCGGACTGGTACGGCTCACACGTTGCCCCCAGCTTGGGGTCTCCACGGGTCCAGAGAAAGCCCTACCATGCCAAGGCGGGAGCCCTGCTCACCTTGCCCCTTGGGCTTCTTTCCTGTCAGCTTCTGCCTCCCTGGGTTTGTGTGTGCACAGGCTCAGGCCACCCCTCTCATGGGGACAGTCCTCAGCCGGCCTCTGTGGAGCCTTACACAGAGGCCAGCAGCACTACCATGGTGGGGTCGATTCAGAGGCAGCCAGGGCTCAAACCACAAGACTCAGCTGGATTCTGATTTGCATCACTCTGATCCTTGGCAGTGGCTCAGGCCAAAAGGGCTCTATGGAGAGGGAGACCTATTGCAAGCTCCCTCCCGTGCTGAGCTCAGCCCATTTCCACCCAGGGCGGCGGCCCAAACCCGAGATCGTGGCCAGCAAGGAGCAACAGATCCAGAGAGATGACCCTGGTGCTGGCCCTCAGAGCAGCAGCCAGCCGGATCACGGCCGTCTCTCCCGTAAGCCCGGTGGGGGTCTGCAGCAGTACAGGGGCTCGCTGAAGTGAGCCACCAAGGGCAGAAGATCTAGAAGCTAGGCCCACTGTTCCCAAGGCCCCCTTTGCTGCAGTTCTAGGAGCATATTGGTTCTGTAGGTCCCTGGGCTCCTTAGGGCATTTTCCTGGGATCTCCCTAGTGCACCACGATGAGGAAAAAAAGCGATTGGCATTTTAAAACACAAATTGGATCCTAACATGCATTGTTGTCCATCCCAAGTGATTTGGGGGGGGGCGGGGGGAAGAGCTGCAGACCTCTGGCTGCCGTGCCCTGGCTTCTCACATCACACAAAGAGATGGAAGATCCTGAATCCAGGCCCCTCCCTGGAGAGGCAACACCAGTGGGTGGTTCCCACTGGGGACCGCTGGGAGTGGGGCTGAGGGGCATCAGGCGCTGGGGAGTCCGGTCAGAACCCAACTCCTGTGCCACCGCGGACCTGCCTCATGCGTTCGTTCTTGTGCCCCGTCTGGCCCAGCCCCTGAAGCCCCCGACAGGCCCACCATCTCCATGGCCTCGGAGACGTCCGTGTACGTGACCTGGATCCCCCGCGGCAATGGCGGCTTTCCGATCCAGTCCTTCCGCGTGGAGTACAAGAAGCTGAAGAAGGTGGGGGACTGGATGCTGGCCACCAGCGCCATCCTCCCCTCCCGGCTCTCCGTGGAGGTCACGGGCCTCGAGAAGGGTAAGGCCCCAGCGCCCTCCCCTGAGCACTCGGAGGAGGGGAACTTTGGGGGAGTGGGGGGCCTTCCCTCCACACCGCCTCCATCTGCCATGTTGCTCAGCCGGCTGTGCCTCGTGGAGTCTTGCCCAAGCCCCGCACCCTCCCTGTCTCCACGCGGAGGAGCAGAATGCTGGCCTCTGGGAAGCCACTGGCTGGCCTGGGGGAGGGGTGGGGGGACCAGAAGGTGCTTCCGGCCCCCGGGCTCAGGAGCGCCTCTCCCTGGGCAGGCACCTCCTACAAGTTCCGGGTCAGAGCCCTGAACATGCTCGGGGAGAGCGAGCCCAGCGCCCCCTCCCGGCCGTACGTGGTGTCGGGCTACGGCGGCCGCGTGTACGAGCGGCCGGTGGCCGGCCCCTACATCACCTTCACGGACGCCGTCAACGAGACCACCATCATGCTCAAGTGGATGGTAAGTGGTGCCCTGCCCTCAAGAAGATGGGACCGGGCTGGCTGCCCGAGCTAACGCAGCTCCCCTGCACCCCG